AATGTAATATTTTTTTTAATTCAATCATACCAAATTTGGTCCATTTTAAAATATAAGTTAGACTAGGTCATTAATTCTTTTTACTTGAATTATAAGCTAGATCAAACTAGGTTGAACCACTTATTTTAATAGTTCTAACTAGGTATACTCAGGATATGAAATTAGAGGAAAACGAACCCTCCAATTACCTTTGTTATGGATAGGCTCAATAGTAATTGATGGAGGCGCAAGCGTCTCAGCCCTCGAGTCCAAGTTCATGAAACTTTCTTTCATGACAAATTTATAGTCAATAGAAGAAATTTTACTTTCACCAAATAGTGGTTGAATATAACTGATCAAATATCTGAAGGAAAAAGAAAAAAATAAACAGAAGACATTATCATAAAAAAGAGAACAGGTAAGCATATTTAGATATGGAAGGAGACAAGAATGACTCAAGAGGAACCCATTCAATAAAGGTAAGCGTACCTAAATACAAAAGGTCCATCAAAATTTAGTGTAATACCTCGATAACTCATTTGATAATTTAAACTTTGATGACTTACGTGATTATCCGTTTTTTCAAATATTAAAACAAACATTTTACAAGATAATAATTAAGGATATCATTATTTTAATCAAATTTATTAATTAATGGATTATATATTTATCATGATTGATAATAATTACTTATTTTCTTTTCTGTATAAATTGACAATTGTGAGAATGACTAAACACCTTACTACAACCTGACTGGGACACTGATTCCAAGATATAGTTTGACCATGATTTATTTATCATATAATATAGCTCAGTCACGTATATTTTAGTTAGATTTCAAAATAAAATATTTATTAATTATATTTTTACGTCTTATTTTTTCTTTTACTACAATAATTATCAATATTTTTTTAGCAAGAACATGTCTATTTATCTTAAATTTTATATTTTTGTTTGTTAGAATTATCAATTTCTAATGGTTTTATGTAGAAATATATTTTTTGCTTTAATCCTTACTTCATCAATTTATTCATTGTGGGACGTGAAAATATGACTATTGTAAATATAATTTGTTATCATAATTTAAAAACATTTATATTTGTTAAATTATTAAAATCAGTGGTATATTTTCATTACATTAATTAATACAAAATCCATTTCTTTTTTTTATATATAAAAACATTATCAGAATGTTCTTTCAAAACTCCGCAGAGGTTAACATTAAGATTAGTTGAATATATAATTGTACAACAAACTTTTCACTAAAGTAATTTATCATCACAAATAATTATTAATGTTTTTATTCATTTTAGAAAGCATACAGGTTTCCCTAATGCACTTGACAAATATGAATTTTGTTTGGAAGCTTGACATCAAGTATGAATGTTGCAAAAGATGTTGCCCTTGATATGGATGTAGATCTCATTCTCTAACAAAACATGCTTTTAGAAAGAAAAAAAAAATTGAGAATAATTATAATGAGTCCTTCAATATAAATCATGTTTAGTGGTTGTCAACATGATTATTAATTATTTAAATATTATATTTTTGAATTTTTTTTATAAATATTATTATTTTTACACTTTTCACGGTAAGGCTTTTGGGTATAGGTATGTGTTTATAAAACTTTTGTTTTTTTTTCCACCAAAATCATTTTATATGCAAAAAAATATATATATGTATTTCAGACATAATTTTGTTTATGTCACTAATAAACATATATTAAATTCGCTACATATTTAAATAGAGTGAAAAGAGAACCATAAATGCAGTTATAATTTCAAAAATTTATTTGTCAAATAAAATCTTTATTTCAAGAGTAAAATTTTATCAAGTCTATAAATAAAATTTTACTAACAAACAACACCTATTTATAGTTCAAAGTTAATAATTTAAATAATATGTTTTTATATTTTTTTAATTATAATTTTATTTTTAAATTACAATCTATTGTTTTATCCTCTACTATTTTAATTTACCTATAAAATTACGATTATATTAGCCATATTTATGTATATTTTTCAATATGTCTGAATTGCTAAATGATAATAGAAAAGACAAAAATATTTTATTTAAATAATAATAATAATGTCACAATAATATTTATTATTTATTTAAACAATTTTGATTTTTATAAATATAACATATTTTTAATTTTATAATTAAAAAAATAGTTTTATAATTTATTTTAAAATTAATATTTATAAAAATTAAAAACCTCTTATAAATTTATATTTTTTCCAAGTTAAAATATTATATTAAATTAACATTAAATTATAATAATTAAAAATATTTTTAAATTATCAAATAAAATATTAATAAAAAATATATAAAAATATAGATATTTATAAAAAGAAAAATTGAAAAATTAATATAAATTATTAAAAAAGCACGTGACGTTTATATCCGAAAATGCTCTGCCGATGTTCTCTTAACTTGAATAAATCTTATAAGCAAATAAATTAATTAATATATTAAAAATGTGTGTATATGCATCTTTTCAGCCACTTTATAGATGGTTTTAGAGTGAAGTCTATGAGATAAAGTTTATATTTTAGAATTAATAAATATGTATATTTATAAAATAATATTTTGTATTTATTAAAAAATAAAATTATATAATTTTTATTTAAAATAAAAAAATTTATCTTATTTTATTTTTCTATAAAATCACTCTACCTAATTATTATCTATATAAATAATATATATTGTAGGGACAATAATTTAGGTTAGGCTACACAAGTAATCTCATCAATCTGCCAAAGAAAATATAAAGTAGATTAAACATCTCAGTTTTCTATTTTGAGGGACAAATGCGAAGTTAGGCAAAATGTGCAAGGTCAACCCACTTCAACTAATATGTTACTGTTACACATTTTTCATTGCACACTTAATTGTATTTTGGATGGATGCTCTAGATTACATATAAAACAAGAGTCAAATCTTGTCAGTCATTGATTTAACCAAGTCAACTTATAATGTAATATTGGTAAATTAATTAAATTGAATGTGATTCTGAGTTCCTCAAGTGGTACAATATGAATGCCTTTAAAGAACATTAATACTCAGTTCCCAAGTCAACCACAATTTTCAACATATTATAATAACTAAGGATTCAACATGAGATGGTCCCAAATACTTATATTTTTTTTATATTATACGAGGATTCCTTTGAAGCCCAAGTTGCATTTAGGGTTGTGAAAACAAAAAGTACTCTAATCTTACTTAATTTAATTTATATTTTTAAATAAATTATAATTTTTAATTTAATTTATTCTTATGTTATACCAATAAATTAACATATTATATTTAATTGAAAGTTAAAAAATTATATATATATATATATATATATATATATATATATATCAAAACAAAATAATTAAACAAATATATAAATAAAAATTATTTTTTAAAAATAAAATTATATTAATAAAATTAATTTATATTTTATATATAATTATTTAATATCTAAATTATAAAATAAGAGATTTATTGATTTTTAAATAAAATTTAAAAGTGTATCTTTTATTATTATTTATTTTTTAATAATCTAATAATTTAAAATAATAATTTATCTTAATGATTAAATTATAAAATAAGTGAATGTTAGACCTTCATTTTTATATTTAAAACATTTCAAGTAACGTTAAGTTTATTTTAACACCATGATATATTACAAGTTCAAAATTTGTTTACCTAGAGGCGTACTATCACCAAATATTTCTCTAATTTACGGTAAAAGGGAGGTGGGGTAACTGCCCCAAACCAAAATATCTTGACAACTAAAGTGAGAAAATTAAAGATAGTACTTAAGTTTGGTCTCCATTTATGATAGGTACCTAACTTAAATATAAGTTTTATAAATTTGTATTTTTATCAAAATTTATATTTGTTTTCATAGCTAATATTTTTTTTTTGTGTTGATAAGTCAAGTTATAGATTATTTTTATATATTAGTAGAATAATTTTTTGCACGCTAGTATTAATCAATCATACTAATATAGAAAAAAAAGTGTATATTAGGAGAAACAACCTTCATCTCTAAAACTAAGTTTTTAAACTTTGTAGTAGAATAATCGTATTCATATTTTTAAAATAAACATTTTTCATTCTTTTTTAAGAAACAAATAGTATATGTTTATTAAATAGGTGATTTTTTTAAAATTGTTTATTTAAGAAACATTTAGTTCAAGTTTAATCAAACTGACCCACGTATCTGTTTATATATTGTTATTATTTATCAAAAAAAAAAAAAGTAATAACAAACTGGGCGTGTATATATTTAATTAAGTATGTCTTATATTCTATGAGGTCTTCGATTCGAATTTTATTGTTCTAAAAACTATTACTTTAGCCCTATTTGACTACTTGGCTTCCACTATATGAGGTCTTTAAACCAACCTATATATAAGAAAAAAAATTGGATTTTAGTCATTGATCTATTTGGTTCAAGAACAGAGGGTTGGGTGCTTTTTGAAGTTTTTTTTTATTATTATTTATCAGGATCTATAGTTGAACCTATGATCTATTTGGGACTGATTCTATTATTTGTTCAAAAGATAGTTATAATAAAAATAAAAATAAAATTATGTCCAATACAAAATGGATTAAATTGTTTTGCTTAAAATTATAGGTAGTTTTTGAAATACTGATTTTAAGTAAAAAAAAAAAAGAACAATTGTGTATCATTTATGAGACTTAAAAATGAAGACTTTCTGTAGAGTAGCTTGCATGATGGCAGTCCCTCTCCCACTTGTAAAGAAATAGGAGCTCAAAGTCCTACTCATTCATATTTATCATTAAATAACCGACTTAATTAATTTGGCAAGATCGTTCCACTTCACCTCATCCTCTTCTGTGATCGATGACGTTCTTTGCCGCCATATACGCCAATAATTTACCGTCTTCTGACGTTGCTACATTTAAAGTTGATTACTATCTAAATAAAACCCCTTAAACATTCATAGTTTTCCAGGAAAAACTTGGTAGAAAAATCTAGCACAAACCTTTGTTGTCTTCTGATGTGGGAGAGTGAAGAAAAGAACTTGGGAGAAGTTCCGGTTACAAATCGTCCATGCCCTCGTCACCCGCAGAGAAAGAAAGTGGTGATCAGAGATATTCCAAAAGGGTTTTTGCCAATCAAGGTAGGGCAAGGTGAAGAGCAAGAGAAAATTGTGATGCCTGTCATGTACCTTAACCACCCTTTGTTTTCTCAGCTACTGAAAGAGGCAGAAGAAGAGTATGGTTTTGATCAGCAAGGAACCATAATCATCCCTTGCCATGTGAAGGACTTTAGGTACGTTCAAGAACTAATTCATAAGGAGATGTCCACCCAACACCAACACCATGCCATTAGCTGTTTTAGGCCTCCACGTTAACAATCTCTCTCACACAAATATGCATGTTTGTTCATGGCATGACTTAGTAATAGTTAACAATATCTAACACATGTCTATATGTATGAGTTAAGATCGGGAACGATCATAAGAACTTTCTTCCTTGCTTTTGTATTTTTCTTTTTTCTTTTTTTTTTCATGTCGTGTTAGCAAAATGTAATATGGAAATGAGACGGGAAAGAATAAATTGTTTTCTTTTTCATTTTATCTTTTTCTTTCCCCATCCCTCCACCATTTTTTGTGAAGATGAACTTAATATAATGTTTTGTGAGAAGGTGAAACAATTACTCCTTGCAATTTGTTTATGATATATTCAAAATCGAAGTCCACGTATTGGTGATCAATTTGATCGTGGTTTATATGAATCTGTTCAAATCTCATTGTTGTTAATTTTCTTTTAATTGTCTTATGGACCCAGAATGCAAATTAATTACTATCTTTCTTCTGCGTGAAGTAATTGGAAAAAAATCATTAATGAATGTTCCCATTTGTACATTGCGTAAATCATTCAAGCAAATGGCTCCTATTATGCATTATTAAAGATTAGATGCGAACCGTTAACGGTTGAATATTTTGAATTTTTGAAATAGAAGTGAAACCAAAGTAATAAATATGCAGACTTCAAAAAAAAAGTAACAAAAATGTAGAACTAAAAATGTCTACAACGGATTTTAATTATACACCATTAATTTCCGTACAAATTTCATCGTTAGCAACATGTATTAATTATTTTTCGTTACGAATTAATTATATTGTTAAACAAATCTATATTACTAATACTAAGGGCATATCTGGGACCAACTAAAATAAATATTTTCTTACTTTCAAAAATATAAAATAAAGATTGATACTATCACATCATTTTTAAACAACCCATAAATAATTTTATTTTATTAAATTTTTTCTTACATTTTTTTAAAATCATTCACTCTTCTATTATTTTTTATATAAATTAATGAAATAATTATAAAAAAAATTAAACAATTTATCATGTGAAATAAAGTTTTTCTAATGAAAAATTATTTATAATTACTTTAATATTTTATTAAGCAACTCTCGTGTATATAGTGTAACATAATCCAAAACTGGAGTAGGAGAAAATGAAACGGTGACCAGAGCACCATTTTCCAAAACTATAGGCAACACGTCGTGAAGGCCATTAATACATTGGATACACGCGCGCACATGTGTATAATATATATATATATATATATATATATATATATATATATATATATATATATATATATATATATATATATATATTCTTATATGAAAGTGAATTAATAACAATAATAAGAGCGACAAGAATAAAAAACAACAAAAATAGCACAACAAACGTTCAATAATAAGTTAGGTCGAAAATGGAATGCAACAGCAATAATTAATAAGACTTATATATTCTATGATATTACAAAATGGTATGGAATTAAAATTAGATCTAAATGTTGAAAACTCATTATTTTTAATGTAAGAGAAAAAACACTGAGTTTTTATTCATACTAATACGGGTTAAAAATTACAAATTAGTATGATAATCATATAATTTTTAAAAAATAAATTCAATAACTTTTGTTTTCATGGTTTTTTTTTTAATATTTGCGTAAAATATATAATATGAAGACTCTTAAGTAAGATTAGACATACCAACTGATAGTGGATATAGACCAAACAAATTAGGTTAAGTTACACCTTTGTATGTCATGATAAATAACTAGACCTTAAATAGGTCATAATCTAGATTATTGGTGGACAACTTTGACCTACTCTAACACTATGCATCTTGATGTCTCGTTGAGCATTGTTTTTCTTCAAATCTAAGGGATAACAATTACTTGGATACGCCATTAATCCAAGTTAAAAAACAAAGAAAAGGAAAGAAAAGGAAACGACACTACTTTTATAGTACAAAGATATGGTACATTATAGGATTCATGACTTGTATTAAAATTCACGTTTGTTCTTTGATTCAAATGATTTGAATTTTTGGGATGGAATTAGTATTTCGTGTATCAAAATTAAAACTTTGATTAAAATGATAAAATAGATATCCTTATATATATTGATCATAGAAGTAGAATTGTTTTTGAAAAACAATATCAATAAAAGTATAATATTTAGATATTCATTATAAACTCTATCCTCTTAAAAAAATTGAAGTGGAGTCCACAGATTATATATTATACAAGTTTGATAATTAAAATATTTCTGGCCCAGATTGTAGCCCAAGGTTAAAAAGGAAATGGAGTTCAAAATTTGGGCCACAAGGTACAAACTTAGAAACACCAAATACGGAAAAGGACTTATTTGTCATAATGGCTAAATGTTTTCTTATAATTATAATTACATCAACTAATTAAATAGAAAAAAAAATGTATAATTTTCCCCTAGGACTCTACTTAGTATACAGCACAGTGCAATCTAGATTCTTCTATGCCCATTTATCTCTTCCTTGTAGTGAATTTATCTTAGAGTCCATGTCCTAGTTTTGTTCTGCTTAAATTTAATTTATTCCTTCCCATCATGCTTTATGTTGTTTTGCTTTAACTTTAAATAAAAAAATTTACATCTTGATTCTGATATGATAATAAAAAAATTACCAAAACCTGAAATGTGGTTACTATATTTACTTCCACATGTGCACTTATTTCATTGATTGAACCAATTATAATTTATGTGTAATAGATGAGTTATAAGATGTTTATAGGTATTTCAGTAACTAAAAAGACATATAAAGTTATTATTTATAATTTTTTTTCATAATGAATATTTAAAATACTAATTAATTTAGAAATGAGGAGCCACAAAGTGAGATGAATATTTTAATGGAAAGTAGAAAGGTTGCATAGAATGGAATGAGTGTGGCTCTATGCACATAAAGAAATGCCACCTTTCATGTTGTTATTGGTTTGTGACTCCACGTGTCCTCTCCTCCTCCACTCATCCTATACTTCTCTTCGTTCATCCAACACCTACATAACCAAATATCTCACCTCTCACCTTCCATCTAACTTTGCTATTATTTTTTTTTTTTTCTATTACACTTTTTTTTTTTTTACCAAAATGAACATAAAATAGTCCAAAACTAAAGTTTTATCTGGTTGATGTAAAATATAAATAATTTTCATCCTATTTCACTTTATTCATATTTTATATTATACATCTCATTTAATATTATTAATATTATTCTTAATAAATATAATTAATTCATACTAATTTTAAAAAATTACTTATTTATTTTCAAAATTAAAATGTTAAATCAAGTTAAGTAACATATTTAAATATATATATATATATATATATATAGTCATTTTCGTTTTACTTTATAATAGATGATGATTTGTTTATAATAGATGATTTGTTTTAGTGCATGTTATTTGATAAGTTACTTCTAGAATTGATATGGCTTTTACTTTAGTTAATAAAAAATAAACAAATAATTTAGTTTTTATTAGTCAAAATTTATATCAACAAATAATTTTAATATTAGTTTTTATCTTAACTAATGAATATTTTATTGTGATAATAACATCCGTAAAAGAAGTAACGCTACTCCAACTATCGTATTTTTATTGTTTCTACAGGTATAACAAAGGGAAGAACTTAACTAGTGTGGTTAGTAGACACACTTTCCCAGATCAATTTACGCATATTAATTTATTATAAAATAATTAAATAAGACTAAAGTGTAATAGTTTTTTTATGTGTTTTATTAATGAGCAGAAATGTCAAACAATTAAAAAATAATTTCTTTGACAGAAATCATATAAAAATATTTTAAAATTAAATGAGTATACTTTTATATATTCTAATAAAAAGTATTACTTTTATATTTGTCAATGACAAATATCATTCATTTTGTTATAAAGAAAAACACAACATCGTTCTGTATTTAAAACAAATTAATAAAAAATAATAATTTTTTACATATCCCACCTGAATAAATTAAAAGTATTTTATTTAATTCATTATTTTATTATATATTATATTATTATTATTTTTATATAAATTATTATGTTTTTATTATTAATTAAATTTTTTAGATTATTGGTCATTATTTTTTATTATTAGTTAGTATATTTTGAGTTATTATTATTTTATGTATCTTATAAAAAGAAACTAACAGGGAACGAATCTATTCATTCTTAAAATACAATATTCTCTCTTTTAAAAATAAATTTGAATATTAAAATATCTTTTACAGATAAATTTTTATTCGTTTTAAAAAAAATATTCAACATCCTCAAAATTAAAAACAAAATTATAACTTAAAATCTGATCTCTAAATCTTTTCAATTTAACTTTTGTCAATCTTTAATATCAAATTTAAAATATTATAAAATATGAATAATTTAAAAAATCCATTACATTACCAAAATAAATATCTATATTATAATAAAATTGGATATCAGTTATAAAAAAAATTTGAATATCAGTTATGAAAAAAAAACTGGTTGTTATGAGAAGTTGCTATGTCTTGAATATGGTCAACGTAATTTATTGAGCTCATAGATAATGCTTATCAGTTTCTTTAGGTTGTATATATATATATATATATATATATATATATATATATATATATATATATATATATATATATATATATATATATATATATATATATATATATATATATATATATATTTATTTATTTATTTGTTTGAGGTTATGTTTGCGTTACATTTTTTTCAACAATATGAAGTATAGATACATCTACATAAATTCTATCAAAATACAATGCATGGCAACGGTGCGAATTTTGTCTTCGCATTCCCGTTTTCATTTTTTTAACTATCTCTGTTCTCGGTCCCGATCTCTCGATTGTAGTTAAAAATTAAGTTTTAATCTTTATTTTTTGTTGAGTTTTGGGTTTTTTTGTCCTTATCTTATCTCCGATCTATATTATTTTTAAAAAGATAATTACATTTATAATAAATTAATTTTATTATATATTTTTTATATATAAATAAATATTTATAATTTTATAATTTATAATTATTATTAATTAAATATATATTTTAATTTATTATATTTATATTAAAATATGTATGTAACAAAATATTTAATTATTTTTTATTTATATATAGAGAGAATATTTATAACATTATTATTATTATTATTATACTATTCAAATATTTGAATACTTATAACATTATTATTATAATACTATATTCAAACATTTAATTATATATATAAGTTAATTCATTTTTAAGTTATCATTTAAAAATATGAAATATATAGTTTATAAGAAAATATTTAATAAATTAATTCTTATCTAATTAGTTCGAAGTAATAAAAGTTTAAATTATCAATTTCTTTTAATTCTTTAAAATATAATTATTTTATTAAGATAAAATTTGATATATGATAAATAAGAATAATAAGATCAAAAAATATGACATAATAAAACTTAATAAATATAAATTATAAATAAAATAATATTAGTTACTACTAGAATTTATGTAAAATATTTAAAAAAAAGATAAAGAAAAAAATTTACTTTGTGTTCATCAAATTAATTGAAAAAATTAAATAAATAAATAAATTGATGGGAGAAATTAAGAAAATATAAAAAACAGAAAGGTAAGAGAGAATAATGTAATAAATTAATTGATATACAAAATAAATAAATAAACAAAAAATTAAAAGTAGGTAGAAGAAAAATAAAAATTGATGAAATATTAAAAAAATAACCTTATATGTAATAGAAAAAAATTACATTTAAAATATTAATATTTTAAATTTTAAATTTAAATATACAAAGACAGTCGATCCCCACAAGTACGGATTTTATTATTATCCCATACATTACACTCGAATTATGTTAACAAATTTCAAATTTTCAAATACAAACCACATAAAAATCAAATTAATGAAATGCATATTTTTAGTCAACCATAACTATGCATGTCATATAATTTCTTTTATTGATAAAAAGCTTATAATCAATATATGAATTTAATCTTGATATATTGCTAATATAAAGTATTTTACATTTGATTTTAAAAAATAATTATTATAAAAGTTAATAACTTATCATATATTGTAATTCCTAATTAAATAATAATGGAAAAATTGTTTACACCATTAGTTAATTCATAAATTATTTTATTTTAGAAATATACTTAAGTTTTCAAATAAATTGAGTCTTCTATAGTTTTTTTGTTAACTTCATTATAATAGGAAAAAAGTCAAATCCAAAAGATAATCCTTCGTTTAATTTTTTTTTCACAACATTTTTTTATCTTTTTCTTCGTTTTCAAGTATATATACATATGTCAAATCCAATTCTTAAGGAGATAAAAGTCAAATTAATTAATTTTATATTTATTAAAAATAATAGTTAGATTAATTTAACATTACTGATTCCATATATCATAAAAGAGTATATTTTATAAATTACGTTTCTTTTCACTGTCTTTATGAATTTAGAGGAAGTAATATATTAAACATTTTAATAAAAAATAATAAATTTGTTTTGCAAAAACTTAATGACAAATACATAATTTTATAGTTTAACTTTGATGTATTGACAATATAATTTGTATACCATAAATCAATAAAAAATTATTAACAATTCTGAAAAAGCTATTATCATCAAAATTACAACTTTATGATATATAATAATTTAGAATTTGAAAATAATAATAATAATGATAATAACATATTATTTATATACTTATCATGTTTAAGTAAAATTATTTACTATAATGCTAATATTTCATAAATAGAAAATCATGTTCCCTTATTTTAAATATAGTAATTTTAGCCCTCAAAATATCTTATATTTATCTTGATCTCACTTTGGACGAAATTATAGATATTTGGGATAAATAAATAAATTAAAACTACCATTTTTATAATAAAAAATAACAATATTTTTGACCAGTGATGAACTTAAATAATATTTTAGCAAAAAGTTAATATAAGATATCCCACTTAGAGGTTTCTTTTGAAAATTTTGAAATATATTTATTGTCACATTTAATGATCTATTGTTGCATGATCTTGATTTTATGATAGATACGATATGATGATCACAAGTGTCCTTGGTGATAGGGGGCAACAAATCAGATTCCAACCTACCTTTCGTATTTTCTGTAAAAACCTCTTAGGAGTGACACGATCCATCCACAAGGAGTGATCATCATCACGCACCACCATCTAACGGTGCAGATCGAGTCCCACTTGTAGTCTTCAACTTAGACCCCATATTCAGGGAAAAATTACTCTCTCTCTCTCTCTCTCTCTCTCTCTCCCCCTCAAAGCTTTGTCCTATATATCATCGGTTTCAAGTCTTTGGCATAGCATGAGTAGTTCTCATTATCAACCATGGCCAACAATCCAAGCTCTCTGGGTTATTCCTTTCTAACTCACTTCAACATGGCGGTAACAGGCTCAGAGCCTTGGTCGTTCCTCACCTTCGTTTTCCTGTGATTTCTTTTTCAAAATTAGCCTCAAACTCAAACTCACAAACTTCGGGGTCTTTTTTGTGTCGGTCTCCTTGTCTTTCTTGCTTTCTTGGTGGCAGAAAATGGGTATGGGGGAGAAGAGTCCGAGGAGTTTCCAATTACACCATCGTGATGGGAAGAAGCAGGAGTTCAGAGGGGTACCAAAAGGGTGCATGGCAATCAAAGTTGGTCAAGGGGAAGAGCAACAAAGGTTCGTGGTGCCTGTCATGTACATCAACCACCCTCTCTTCATGCAGCTTCTCAAGGAGGCAGAGGAAGAATACGGTTTCGACCAGAAGGGAACCATAACCATCCCTTGCCACGTTGAGGAATTCAGAAACGTTCGGGGCTTAATTGATAGGGACAAGTCCCTTCACCACCACCACCACCATGTTGGTTGCTTTGGCTTCTGAATTCTGCTCCAAACCAAGGTTTTAAAAAAATTGGTCCCAACATCAAGGTTTTTGGGGTCTTGTCCACAGTTTTCTAAAATGTTCAGAATTGTGAAGAAACTTGTGATGGCCGTAATTTAAAACCTTGGGTAAACCATGAAGAAAGAATTGATCTTGGGCTAGAAATCACCACCCCCTTTAGTTTTTTTTTTTATGACTTTCTCATGTAAATTTGCTAGCTTCTAGATTTTTTTTTGTAGCGTTTGGTTTATGTGAAAGAAAACACCTTAGGTAGGTGATGGTGAAGACAACAGAATGTTGCTTCTTCCAATTGTACTTACTTTTTTCTATATTGTTAGGAATCGTAATGGGAAAAAAAGAGATGCTTTTCTTTTCTATTCTTTTCTTTTAGTGAAGAATCACGCGCTAGAATAATTGGTACACCACTCTTTGGGAAATAGAAGAAATCGAAAAAGAGGGAATTGACGATAAGTAGGGCCAAAATTTTGCTTCTTTTCCTCTCTTTTGAGTCACTGACTTCCTCTTTGGTCTCACTGTTACTGATGGAGGTTCCATTCTCAAGCAATCTCTAATTACGAAAAATCAAGCCTCTGTCACTGTAGTTGATGGGGTTTTTAAATTGGGGTTACACTCTTGATTATGTTGAGATTATTGAAATTATGGTGGACGTGTACTGGGGCCAATTCTTTAACCTCAATGATTGTCCAATCAATTATGAACTTTTGCACTGTAATTCATTCCAATTAGGTGATTTTCTGTGAGGGTTGTAATGTTTATCATGGGCCAGAAAGGGAAAATGAGGTTTGCATGGAGAAACATTGGAGCATAGCAATGAGGTGGGTGTGTGGACCATTTTTGTTTCTGAAAAATCTGAAATATACTGAAACACTGATATCGCTCTAGGAATGAGTGAGGGGGTAGAGTTTTGAGATTTTCCTTCCGTATTTTCCTTTTCTTCTCACAGAAGAGCGTAAGATTTTGTTGGTGTTTGTTTGGATGATTACATTGAAGATGGGTAGGTGAAGAAGAAGGACAAACTGCCCTGAGATAGAAGGTGTCAGTGGGTGGGTGCATGACTTCCACGTTCCCAAAGGGTGTAGTGTTTATTTTATGTGCATCATTCAAGGGTACATATTTAATACGGTTCAAGTCTAACCCTTGTAGTTTGTACCCGTTAAAAGGTTTCAAGGTGAAACAAAAAGATCCAAACAGGGAACAGATTTTTCGGTTGGAGTTTATTTTATCTGAGGCAATGGTTCAGGAATATCAACTTTTTTTCACTAACATCTTTGGCTGTTACTTTCTCAACTAGTAATTGACTAATTCTATTACATAACAATACAAGAAGACAACCTCAACCCCACACAACCCAAGGAGGTCCACTATGCAATTCTTGAATTGTTTGGTTTATTACTTGAAAGCAATTGCATCATGATTTTTCATTATCTGGATCACAATAAATTATTCATTAATTTATTCAGAATTATTAATTATTTGTGATCTTAATTAACCATTTATAAATAATCACTTAATGATTTCTCTTGCCGCACTGTTGAAAAGAAAGAAAACAAACACACCAGGGGACAGAAAACCATACCTCTGCTGCATTGATTTGAATTTCAATACGTTTTTGTTTGCTTTTAATTGACACCATGAGAATTCTTTTCGAGGAATTCACATGGTCCAAAGAAAAAGATGTTAATTTTAACGAGAATATTAATCAATGAGTTATATTTAATGTTCGCAATTAAGTATTCTTTATACCCATTAATTAACGTTATTTGTATTTGTTAGAAAATAAAAAGTGATTTTTTTGTAAAATGTATTTTTGACAGGTTCTTTTCCCATGATTTGAATAGTGTTTTTTTTTTTAACACAAACTTGTATTAAATTATTGCTTTTAAGGTACTTGTATTGAAAAATGTAAATTTCAAAATCACCAATGGTTAATTATAGAAAAAGAACTAATAAAGCTCAATTAAAAATTTAAATTGGTGGGCTCTTTTTGGTTAGCATAGTTATGAATTTTATACCGTTCAAAATATGTATTTACACATAATAAATATGAAAAAATGGAAATAATAAATGTAATCACTGATATGAAAAAAATTAATAAGTATAACTTAAAGCATAAAAATTAAAGTTGATACATTATAATTCATGATTTTGTGATTTTATTCTTTTAATTACTTTCATCAATCACTACTTCACATGATAAAATTGAACTAATTGTAAGGGATATAGTGAGTGAGAATTTAATTTTTATTATTGTAGACAAATTTTATGATTGAACTGTTCGAACTGTTCATTTATTATTCATTATTTTTTATTTTTTTTACAAGAACAAGAATTATAAATATTTTTAGATTTTATTTTTAGTTTTTGTGATTTTCTCAATGAGTGAAAATAAACGAGAGATTAAAAATAATTACAAAAATTGTAAGAATTAAAAAAAAAACAAATTTTAGAAAGACTACAAGCTAAATTAACTCATAATTCATAATATAATTATAGATACAAAATTTATGAGTGGGAGAGGAGACGTTACCTTAAATAAAGTCTATTTCTAATTTTTTTTTATCAAAATTCGTATAAAAAATTTATTTTAAATAAAAGAATAATTTATATTTTTTTTCCTTCCATATTACTTAATTTGTTAATATTTATAAAATCTACACCTCAACTCAAACAATTTCAAAGCAACACCAACATATATTATAATATATAATATAGTAACAATATTTTTAATTATATTTATTTAAACAAATTAACTTGATACTGCGTTGAATTTCTACTGATAAAAAAGAAGTATAAATTAATATATAATTATAGTACTTTTCATGTTTAAATTTTTATAGAATTGAAAACATATTGACCTAAATTATTTATTTAAAAACTAAAATTGATTAAAATTAACGTAGGTCAAAGCCTAAAACTGTGAATGAATTGTATAAATTATGGATATCGCATCCCTACTTGACATGTGGATGCGTTTCTCTTGAGAGGTGTTTTTTATATGCTTAAACTCCCCTTGCAATATTATTAAGGAATAAAAAACTTACAATGATTAGCACCCATGGTTTTGCAATTTTCATCCCTTGTTTTGAAATTGTTAATTAATCGATCTCTCTTTCAAAATATGCATTGTTCATTCTTTCATTTACAAAATAAAAACAATTAAGTTCAACCAAAATAGTATTAAATTCTCAAATAAAGGAATGAATCATGGTGGTGACAAATAAAAATGTTGGATTCACATCTTATTCCATGATGTTGCTAGATGTTGACCAAAAGCAATACAGTATTGGCACTTAGGTTATTGAAGGAGGTTACGTAGATACCGTTTAAATAATTTTTAAACTAAAAATATTAAATAAGTATATTTTTAGAATTGATTATAAAATTGTTTTAAAAAACTTTTAAAAAATAATTAAATGAACAAGTCTTATATTTATAAAGAAAGTTCAAGATTGAACATTATATGTGAGAGGAGGTTGTTAAGGGACACTAAAATCCAAAGACAAAATCATGAAATTTAGAGAAAGGCAAAACGTATTTGAAACAATTTTGTATTGGTGGTCTTGGAGAAAGATTGGACAAAATGATCGGCGGGGAATACTAAGATCATCAATGTGTTTTCAATATTAATTAATTTAATAATGTTAGTTAAGACTTAATTTCTTACCATTATAATGAGTTATTAGAAATTCATAAGTACCACAACTATTTTTAGTGAGATACATGACTAACATTTTTTTACTAATTTTTTATTAAAGTTTTAATATAAAATTAAATAAATATATATAAAATAACATAATAAATATTTAAACCATATCATATAGTATAAGATATTTAAAAAAAATCATTGAATTAAGATAAAAATAGGTACATTTAACTTATAAAATAAAAGTTAATTTTTAGTCTAAGATAAAAATGAAAAAAAAATATTGATTCTGATACAGACGAGACTTTCAACATTTTTATTATTAATTTATTAAATAAGTGTTATCAAAAAATGAAATTTCACTCCTTATTTTATAAATAACAAATATTTTATTAAAAAATAAGACTCTTTAATAATAATAAAAAAAAGTATATAATAAGATATCAATCAATGTACATAAGAAATAAAATAATTCATAATCTTTTTAACTATTTTCTGGTGTATTATGTCATGCAGTATTCAATAATAAATAACTAAGAGCAAAAAAATATTTAAATTTTTCCTAAATAACCATAATCACAAATATTATAAGAAAGTCTATTGAAAAATAAATATAAAATTGTCCACTAAATCACCTAAAAACACTACTTCATAATCACCTATTGAATAACCATAAAATTGTGCCTTCATGAATTTCTTACAACAACAAAAAAAAATTCGCCCACAAGTTAATTAAGCATGCAGTAAGATTAGAAATCCATTGTATACAACTACGTGCAGAAGATGATACTCTCACTTTCACTAAAACAAAAATGAGAATACAAAAAAAAAACTAGTTGAACAAACAAAATGAAAAAAAAATTATAAAATTAAAAAACTTACGTAATCCATATTATTTATTTTATTTGTCAATAGTCAACTAGTTGACCCTGAATTAAATAATGACATGTATAACTATGCAATTAACAGCTGGCGGCTTTGTTCATACAATCTCAGTTGTTTTCATGTGTTTTTTTTTTTTTTTTCTGAATCAAATAAAAACACACATATCCAAGCACAAGTGTCAGTTGGATTCTCCATGACCTTTGTTTCTGGGATGGGTCAATATTTCCAAAAATTCAATCTTGGAAATTCAGAAATCATGTTTTAACACCAATGTTTTGTGAAAGATGATAATCCAAAAAGGCAACATCGTGACACTTTCCTTCCACTTAGGATAGGAAAGGAAAAAAAAAAAGGTATGCATGTCCTCCACTGAAACTTTTTTTTTTTTTTATCCCTCTCTGGGTTAGTTAGCATAATATTTTTAAGTGGGATGCACAATATTGGGCACCAATTGGATCCATCAGACACCAACATTGAATTATTTTGTCACAAAAACGTTAGTGGAAACATATATTGGAAATCAATCATCACAAGAATTTTCCTTTGACTACAACGAAAAGTAAGCAAAATTTCATGGATTATTTATCAAATCACAAACCATTTATCATTATAATCTAACATTTTTGTGCTTTTGGTCAAGAATGCTCTTTCCTCTCATCTTCTTGTATGCATTGAAGAAGGGTATTCTCTAGGTTATCGAGTTCTTTAAGGAATTTAATTTATGGGTGGATTTTGTTTTGTCAGTTCTTGGAATGTGTTCCAACTATCAATTTGAGTGGCACCTAAAGCATGCAATTTCATAAATTGCCTGCGGATTGCTGTGGACACAATTGTCTTATTATGAAATATAGTATATATGATTTTTCTTTTAGACATTTTTAAGAATACAGGTTAATATATGTTTCTTATAAAGAAAGTAAATAGTGAAAAAAAAATTAAAAATTTACGTTATTTTTTATAATTTAATAATTAAAAATATTTATTACGTTTCATTTACGAGAATGTTCCAGTTTACGTTTAAAATATTGTCTGATTAAAATTTTAATTCATTAATTTTTTTAAATATAAAAAAATAAAATATATAAATTATTATTGATTTTGATTAAGTAAGAATTATAAAATTATTTAAACATATTATAAGACAATTATTTTATTTTTAGAATTTATTTGTAAAAAATTCAATGATTTTTATAGAGGATAAATAAAAATAATTTTCTTTTTTCTAAATTTAAATTAATTTATCTACAAACTAAATACATAAACTATAAATATTATATATTTTTTTTATAAATTAACTTATACATAAACTAATAATATATACAAGTTTATTTATATTTTCATCATTTAAAAAAAATTATAAATAAATTTATCCAGTTCATTCACAACCAATTTATATATTTGATTTTTTTAAAAGAAATGTTATTAACATATAATTTAATAGAAACTTTAGTTTTGGTTAGAAATTATTTTCATTTTTGATAACTTAACTTCACTTCAAGATTTTGTAATTTTCAATACAAAATAACTCACTTTAAAGATTGTTTTATGTGGTCTTACTTTGGCATTTATTCAGAATGGATAATTAAAGTTATTTAAATTGATTTAACTTGAATTAGCTTATAAATAATTTAAAAATAACTACCAAACAAAGTGAGATCTAAACTAAGATATATTTACATTTAGAGAATGCCTTAAAAAGGAACAATTCATTGTATTCAAGTAGTAGTAAGTAACCTTATCACAATTTTACATATAAAATACAAAAAAAAAAGGATATGAAAATCAAATCAATTATAATTATTCTATAATTTTTTAAACAAATATAGTAAAATTGTCTAAAGTAAATAGATTTCCTAGAAAGTTTTCTCCTAAAAAAGAAACAGCATAGTGCACAGATATTTTCTCTGTTTTGAATCTTGTAAATCTTGAACACTTTACTAGGATTCAATAATTATGTTTGTTAGTCATTTATATTTTTAATATATGGGCATGCATGGACCACAAATTCAACTAATTTGGTAAAACACCAAATTCTGACATCCTTATTTTATATGTCCCTTTAATGCATTTAATTTAGGTCATTATTCTTTCTTGAAAACCACGACTTTGGATAACTGCAATCAACTACTTCACCATAAAATTAATAGAGAGTACTAACTATACCATTCCGTACCATATATTATTTTCATCAAATCTCATTTAACTCATCCCTATGTTGTTCAAGTTTTAAACCAAACTTAGTGTTGAAGGCATTTCAGTCTTTCTTCAACAATTCCACTCATTTAATAAAGATAAACTTCAATAAATAAAAGTAACATTTTAATTCATAATTTAAAAAATTATATATGTATATAGAAACCCTAACCCTGGACTAAAAGATGCCATAAACGACAGAGAACGACAAATAAGTAGAAAAAAAAAATCTACCATTGACACAACATGTCCTATTCATTCTTTTAATAGATAGTGATGCATGTATTATATATTGTAATTGTGAATTCACAAAATCTATTCCAATTACTATATAATTTCTATTATACAATAATTATATTAACGAAAATAATGTTCAGACGCCACATTTTTCTAATCCAATAATAAATGATATTTTTATTATATACTATATTTGACCACTATTTTAATAAATAGTTTTATGGGTATTTGTTTACATGGCAATATTTGATCGATCAAATTGTACTCTTGCTTGATAAAAAGTCAACCCTGTTATCAAATAAAAATTATTTGAGGCAGCGACGTTGACCTCACATTGCTCGATTTTTATTTCTCCAAGTTGAAATGAAAACAACCACTCGCCGCCCTAAAAATGGAAAGATAGCATCATTAGAAAAGAGTAATAATGCCATAAACTCAAATCACATTTATAAATGATTTTTTAATATCAATTTGTGCCAATTGCATTACTATTTTTTAATTTACTAATTTTCTTTTTGTTTTCTTAACAATTTTCAGAGATAGGAATAGGACTCTCTTACCAACAGGAAATTATTTAATAATTATGATTGAAATTTGAAAATAATTAGTGAGCCTCATTTAAAATTACTTCTACTCGAACAAAATATTAAAAAAAAGTGTAAATATTACTATTAAATTTTACCTTCCGAAATTGATTCATAGAGTGAAAAATCTATCCAATTTTTAATATTATATCCAACCCATTTTTCTTTTCTAGAAACATGACTAGTTATATATATTCACCTTTCCAAATTAACAAGCTAGAGGCAAACCATGATCTTCCACAGCATGAAAAGGAGTGTTCCTGTGCGGCAGTTATTTGAACACTGAACCTGGCTAAACTAAAATGAGTGCTTATTTTCAAATAATCCAAGTGTGGCATGCTTTTATTTGGTCAAATTGGAATTTAGAGACCAACTTTATCACCTATTTTCTTCGTTGTGTTTTGGCGTATGCACGCCACTAATGGTTCTGGAAATTTTAATAGGCTCAATGGGACCAGCATGAAAACGGAATATAGGATGTTCATAAGAGATAACACAAAGGAAGTTTTCTTCTTTTTGTTGTGATGGATGGTGCTGGTGAAACAGACATGACTTGTGTACAATTTTCAATCACAATAGCTAAACAAAAAAAACCACTTTAAGCTATTATGGTTGGTTCAATGACCCAAATGTTTTCTGAAGCTTGGCAATTTCTAGAGCATGTTAACGAGGGACGAACATGATCCGTTGACATCCTTGTTTGGCAACACCTTCAGCTATAAAAAATGGTCCATAGGGCTATAAAGTACATAGTATAAGAAAAAGGTCCCTATATCCTAGTTGGTTAAGGTCTATTTATGAGTCGGTCCACTTTTACGTATTTAATAGACCATTTTAAGTGATTTTTTTAGAATTTTAAATACTTTATGTTAAAATGTTTTGTTTGGAAAAAGGTATTAAATATTCTAAGATTTTTTAAGATCTGTTCATTTACTAAAATAATGAAACTTCAATTTTAAAAAGACAATTTTGAAAATCACTTGAAAAAAAAACTTACTTGATTATTTTAATTTAAAAAATATACCATAGCAAAAGTTATAAAACACTTTGCATAATTTCGTAATGTTGAACGAGATAGTGCAATTGTTGTAAAAAATAAAATAATAAATATATATATATATATATATATATATATATATATATATATATATATATATAGTATTAATGAAAAAAAAACTAAAAATATCAAACACATTTGGTCCTTTAAATAATTTTTAAAAATTAAAACTAATTTTAAAAAGAATAAACAAACAAATATTTAGAAATAACAAAACAACTGTATTCATTGTGAAAATGAGGCATGTAAACAAATTCTTATTGAGCCCAAGATAAAATAAATAAAACAAAATTTCAATGTTACAGAATTATAGTTATATTTTTTAGAACAAATAAAGCTGTTTGCTGACAATGACAGTAAAAGAACAATTTGGATATAAACTGCTTTAATTTTGACTATATGTAATATTTTGAAGGCATTCACAAGTTAATGAATATTCATTTGCGAAATGGACTTAGGAGCAAGCATTTTGACATGTAATTGACTCAGCATTCCCTGTATTGACTTTGTAACAAATTCATTTTATACAATTTTTTTTTCTCATCATAATGAAAGAAAAATAAGAAAAAAATCTCTAGATCTACTTTTGTTCCCGCATCTTCAAACTATATGTCAAAGGGTCCAATCCAACTCTACCTGTGTCTTGGGTTTGAACTACGGAGAGTCACACCATGCAAAAATTTTGTATATCCAAGTAAACTGAGCTTCCCGTCAGTATTTCTTATCCAGTCCTTGAGAATTGAATAAGCTGAAGGCCCAAGATTCAACTCCTGTGGCCATGAAGAAAATATAAAGCATAGATAAGCATTACCAAACTGCTTATCAAAGTCATATATTTCATACAATATATTGTGTATTGAAAAACTAAAAAATTGTACTTACTCTGGCTAATTCTTCAACTGATATCAGACGGTTGCCTTCTGTCTCAAAATGTTCAAATGCAGTTGAGGCAATATCTTCCCACCTATCATGTGCTTCCAATTGGTATGTGCTAATTGCAGCTGCACAAAACTCTTCAAAGTCCATCTTTCTATAGGCAAGTGGCTCCATCTTTACAATCATTACAGCAAGAAAATGTAAGGTGTTTGGCCAAGATGGGGAAACAGTGTGAACTTCAGTACAAATATTAGAAATGGATCAAACAGTTAACCGGAAGAGGGAGTGACCCGCATTAAAAATAGGCAGACTTTGAGACTGCTAGTCTAATAAAGATTATTCCAGCTATGTTCCTAGACAATGCATGATGAATTTAGCAAGTTATAAAATGTAATTTTCATGTTGAGACATACCACTACAGACATTTTTCATGTAAAAACGAGACTGCACAAACTATACAAACTTAGCACAAGTAAATTTTGAAACCTAATAGTACATGTAGGGAACTTAAACAACGAAGCAAAAGTAGATCAACAATCTGATGTGCTATGTATAAACAGAAAATTTTGAAAAATATATAGCCAGTAAATTATCTGGAAAATATATTGGCGAGTCATGTCCAACATGCCAAAGATATTTTCTCAATACAACTAAGAATAATGTCTCACCGCATTTATGATCTCAACAACCCTTGACTCTCTCATTGCATCAGTTGCATTGTGTACAAGAGCCTGCAAAGTTTGCTTTGAAGCTGTGAATCATGGAGATTAATAAAGAAAGGACAAGAAAACAACCAAAACCCTTCAAAGCAGGAAAACCACATCCATTTCCACAAAAATATAAACAAGACAAGAAGGAAAGTTGTGCTGTGAAAATGACCGTGTTCCAACACCCCAGTTGCCCTTCGCAAACGTACAAGAAAAACTTCACTTTATCAAACATATAAATTCTAAAGGATTTTATTAGGGAAGCAGTAGAAAACCATTTTGAAATTGTCAAGGGAGATGAGTCCGTCTCTATTTGGTTCCAACAATCTGAATTGTGCTCTTAGGTAGGGCAATTCATCCTCTGGCAAGGCTTTTGAAAGGGCCTAGATAAAAGAAGCCACAAGATTAGTTAAAATAAAGGACAGAAAAATATTCAATAAGCATACCAAAAATGACTCTTAAAAAGAAGTCTATTGATGATACTTCATGTCAAATAAATAAGAACACACCATGAGTTTCCCAAAAGCATGAAAGATTTATCAATGACACATTTCATAATAGACCATACACAGCACATATTTTTCTTTTCATTTCTTTTTTTAAAAGAAGCAATGAGGTGACTCACCACACACCGAAACTTAATGATTATATTCGTAGTCAGCAGGGAAAATATCATCATGATGTAAAATGCATGTGATATAAGTTGAGGGATGAAGTATTGTTTGTAAAATTAGAAGAAAAAAAATGTCATAAACATGCATAAATTCAGTAGACATGTTCGAGAGATAGTAGTGGGGTATTTACAAATTTGAAGATAGAACAGAAGTATTTACATAAAGTAAGATACTCTAAGTTAAACTCAAGATAAACATGTTCAAGGAAAATGAATTAAATAATACCTTCACTGCTGCACGTTTGAGTGGTGTTGCATGAAGATAAGCCTTCACTAGTTTATAAACTAATATATCTAAAGGGATTGGACGGCTGTCGTCCCTCAACCAAGGATGACCTGCATTTACAGAAATATGCAGTGATTAGTTTAATAGATTCAATTTACAAGAACATTGCCGTTACCATTATGTACATTCATGACTAATAGGAAAAAAATTAGTGTGCTCCAGTAAAAAATGTATGGAGTATAATGATACTCCACGATGAAATGAAACGTAAAAGAATACATAAGCAACCATAATTTGACCAATGCTGAACCAGCACATAAGTAATTCTTTTTTATTAGTTAGTTAATTGACAAGTATCCAAGCACTTGAGGAAGCCACTCTACAGCTAGTTTAGTTGTTAAGAATCTAATAATGATTAAATATGGCACATTAAAGAGTTAAACTCTTAAGAGAACTTACTTAGAGCTTGGACAGCTGTCATTCTTTTCCTGTAGTCCTTGTTTAGAAGCCGTTTTACAAAGTCCTTGGCCTCCGCAGAGACAGTAGGCCAAGGTAAATCATCAAAGTTAGGATCAGCTCTAAGCACTGCACGAAAAATTCCAGATTCTGTTCGTGCCCAGAAAGGTCTACTTCCGCATAATAAGATGTAGGTGATAACACCAATACTCCATATATCTGCTTCCAGACTATATGACCTGTGAAGGACCTCAGGTGCAACATAATATGCACTCCCAACAATGTCATTCAGCCGTTCATCTGTATATCAATCGAAACACAAGGGAAAAACTTATAAAGGATGGACTTAAATCCAAATATTCGATCAATAACAAATGAAAGGAAGCAGTCTTCAGGTAATGAGTACATGGGACAGACTACTGAGACAGAAATGCATTATGCTTGTAACACATATCATTCAGAGTTTCCTTTTACATAATATACGTGAAGCATTCACAGGAACCATTTATTTCTTCAATCTCTACATTTAGTGTTAAAAAGTATTAGAGTTGATGGATGACAGACAATTAGAACCCAATCAAATGACAGTGGAAATGATGAACTGTAAAACCCCATGTGAATTTTCAAGGAAGCATGGTTAAATACAGAATGCATTATGTTGGAAACCTCTATCGCTCCAACAATCAATAAGATGTTACCTAAGAGCATTGTGCAAAGTATTAACAATGAAGTGTGCATTTCTAGTAGCTAGCTGTTTATTTAATACTTTTAATATATTAATAAGAGAGTCTGCTTTGGAAGGAAAAAGAAAATAGAACCACTAATAATTACCTGGCCGGATGAAGTCAGATAGACCGAAATCAATAAGCTTCATGTCAGCATTTTCACTTCTTGAAGTGAAGAGGAAATTCTGTGAAAGCAAGCTCCAACAAAGAATGGACAACATTATTGATACTCTTTATTTAAGCAGTCATCGTCATACTAAAAACAGAACAAAATGTGACTATTACAAATTAGTACGCGGGTGAAAAGTTTTAAAGCACAAACCTCAGGTTTAAGGTCTCGGTGCACAACACCTTGAAGATGACAAAAAGCAACTACACTTAGGATCTGCAAAACTATTACCTTGGCATCCTCCTCTGAATACTTTCCTCCCCTGATTTGACAGTAAGCATTATTTATTAAGTAAAAAGATTATATCATATTCAAAAAAAAAAAAAAAAAAAGGCTAACCTTGACAAAATCCTGTCAAGAAGCTCCCCACCTTCACACAATCTGGTAACAAAGCAAAAAAGGTCACTGTATGATGGAGCTACAATTCTAAGATGCATGCCACTAACAATTAAACAGCTTAGCAAAATAGTCCGCAACAAAATATATGCCGTGTAGAAAGTTAGAAATAAAGCAACATAGAATGTGCATGCGGTTGAACTTGTTTAAACCTTTGGAAACAAGCAAAAACATTAATGAGAGAAACGAGAACCAAAAGTGAGAAACTGCATATTAATTGTGGTACCAATGGCAAAATGATCTGCATATAAACAAAAATGCCATTTATAATCTAAAGTGACAGCTCATCAACCAAATGTATAAAGAAAACAATAATGATTCAGTTCTCCAGCAATCAAACACCAAATTCTCATTATAGATGATGATGAATAATAAACACAGAACATTCAAGCTTTTCCCACTATGTGAGGTTGGTTATATGGATCAAAACACACCACAATGTTCTGTCATAAATTATATACATTGAATGATATTTAATATAATAATAAAAGACATACTCCATAACTATGTACACATTGTTGGCATCTTCAAAAGCATCATGATATTTGACAAGATGTTCATGGCCAGATAGAGCTTTTAATATCTTCACCTCTCTTCGAACATCTTCAATTGCTATTGCAGTTGTCATCTGCTAAATAAATTTTATTAAGACTACAAAATGTATAAAAATGCAGGCGCAAAGAATAATAGTTTAATTATTCAGTGATATGACCTTTGTTATTTTTTCTTCTTAAAAATAATATTACGCAGACTCCTTTTTTGGATAAAAAAAATGGACTCCAAATTTTGTATTTTAATAATGACTTAAAACTCCAGAGTGTTAAATTTATACAATTTTCAAGTCAAAGGAAGTGGACATGTTAAATTGAAAGCAATGCAGTTAATAACTTGTAAGTGATCAAACATGCCTTAAACTTCGGATAATCACATTCCTATATATACAATAATGGAATTCCTTGTAAAACATTAGTGCATGTCGCTGACCTACTTTAACTTACCCCTGCCAAGGTCCCTTAATATAGCCAGCTGAACTAGTATTTTGGAACTATTACAGAAATTACTATGAATATATATAACTTTATGCCTGGGAGTGAATCTTTCCACTTAAGGTAATAAACTTGAAAGTCAAAATGCAAACCAGTGAGGAGAAAGATTTTGCAGCAGCATAATGAGCATATGTGAACAAGAAAGACTCGTATGGCATGCAGACAACAATCATGCTTTGTATGCTAACTTGTCAGTATCAGCATTAGTGGCATGTGTGTGCAAGACAATTCCAACCATCTACTGTCAGCATGTTTTGACCCACATCCATATGTGAAAAAATGTGGATCCACCTTATGCTATTATGTTCCTTTACGCTATGTTTGAATGGTGTGAAAGAAAGTGGAGGAGTACAATAAGAAAGAAAGGAAAAAAAACTAGAGTGGAAATGAGATTATTCAAATTAGGTGAATGAGAGTGGAAAGAGAAGAGATATTATGCCCTTTCATACCAATTATTTGGAAAGAAGTGCAAAGAGAAGCTTTTTTATGGGAACGAATAGAAAAGGGGCGGAAGTTGGATTTATTATTAAATGACCATTATGTCGTTTCATCCGAATTAAATTTATAATTAATTTGTAAAGATAAATTTGTTGCCACCTCAGTTCAAAATTTCGTTCAATTTTGCATACTAAATGGAATCAAATAGCGGACTAGCATGCAGGCATTTTTGAGAAAGGGAGAAAGCCAACCTGGCTTTCTTCTCAAATCTCACCACTTAAGAGAAGAAAGCTAGACTTGTGGTACCCTAAAACAAACCACTCATTTCACCCTATATCAGTTGAACCAAAGGAACTGATACCCTCCCATTTCAAATCCCTTTCATCCGCACAAACAGTAAACTCCCAACAATAAACACAGCATTAGTGTTAATGCTGACGTAATTCCATCTTCTGTATTAAAAAGCATCAATTAATAGTAAAAAACACAGTAACGCAGTATACTACCAACCATCAACAAAGTGACTAACCCTACCTCAAATAGCGACAAAAAGAAACATGCTTTTAACACTAAATGTAACTGGAAGTTACAAAGATTCTAAAACATGGCACCATAAAATGACTGAGCCGTTACCCAGGAGAACAAGTATTGTAATATGCCAATGCTTCACACATGTAAGACAATTTTAGCTTCGGAAGGTATCGACAACAACATCGGTTCGCATCAAACAATATCAAAATGAATAACTATTTCAACAGTTAGTTAACTAAACAATCAATGATAAAAAAATTAAAAAATAACAAAATGGATAATCATGTCAACCGTTAACAAAAACAATCCACATGATCAAACTTCCATTCAACGGCAACAATGGCAGGCTGCATGCATTAACATGATAGTGTTTCTTATCAAACAACTTATTATAGCACACTCAAAGAAAGAACAAATTATTGTCATGCGCCAATGCATCACACATGTAAGACAACTTTAGCTTCCAAAGGTATCAACAACTGACAGCAGTTAGTGTCGAACAATATTAAAATGGAAAATTATAAAAACAGTTAGTTAGCGTATACAATCTACATGATAAAAAATAATCAAAAAATATCAAAACCGATAATCATTTCAACTGTTAGCGAAAACATTCTACATGATCAAAACTTCCATTTAACTGCAACAAGGGCAGGCTGCATGCATTTACATGAAAGTGCTTCCTATCAAACAACTTATTCTAGCACACTCAAACAAAGAAGGAAATATTGTAAAGTGCCAATGCCTCACACATGTAAGAAAATTTTAGCTTCCAAAGGTATCCACGTTGGTTAGCATCAAACAATATCATAATGGATAATTATTTAAACAGATAGTAAGCGAATACAATCTGTATAATAATAATAAAAAAATAACAAAATGGATAATCACTTCAGCTGCTACGAAAATAAGCTATATAATCAAAACTTCCATTCATCTGCAACAAGGGCAAGGCTCATCAACATGAAAGTGTTTCTTATCAAACAACTTATTCTAGCACACTCAAACAAAGAGAACGAAGTGTTTTAATATGCCAATTGCCTCACACATGTAAGACAATTTTAGCTTCCAGACATCGGTTAGCATCTAGCAGTATCAAAATGGATATTATTTAAACAGACAGTTAGCGAAGACAATCTATATGATCAAAACTTCCATTCATCTGCAACAAGGGCAGGCTGCATGCATTAACATGATAGTGTTTCTTATTAAACAACTTATTCTAGCACACTCAAACAAAGAGATCATTCTTTACCCCCTTGGTTTACAGTACCAATTTTCCAAATATCATTTTTACATGTACTACCACATGATATGAACTAAAATAACTATTCTCAGTTGAGCCAGGCAAGTTAAGAAATGCCATGCCATGTAACCTTATAGCTGACAACAAGGTAAGACCAAGTTAACTGTCATGTCAATTCCAACTACATACAGTTTTTTATTTTAAATTTTACAGTTCATTCGGTAAAATCCAAATGATTCTGACCATAGGACAGTGATGTTGAAATTCTGAGATGAAGCTACAAAACAAAGAAAACAAGACAATGTCCAAGAACCATGTATTTGTCGGGTAACATTTCCAAGTACAAACTACAAAATATCAGAACCCCAATCCGTAAAAAAACTGTGTCAGACAAATTCCCAATTGTTCCCTAGTCCCACTTACAGAATCTCACAGAGCATTCAATCAAACAACAGAGATCAAACCCGAATCGTCCAAAATCCAAATGCCATAATAATTCATAATGACAAAAAAAAAAAAAGACACACACACACAGTCAACAAGACCAGAGAACACAATGACGAAAAAAACAAAAATTACCACACAAAAATTGAACCACAAGTAAAACCAACAAACTCAAATATCTCAAAACAAATTAGCAAAATATGAAAAGACATTGGATTGTAATTGTACCTTCGCCTTGGAAATGATTTTAACAGCAACAGGTTGATCTTTGAGTTCACCCTTCTTCCCCTTAGCATAACAAGTATGACCAAAATGCCCTCGACCCACTTCTTTCCCAATTTCATACTTCGCCCCAAAATTCTTACCATACCCAAAGCTCTTATTCAGCGACTGTTCCGTCGCCCCCGTTGCTGCCGCTTCTTCCTCCGGGATCGGCCCCTCTTTCGGAGTCTTCGCGTGCCCAAGCCGCTTCGCCAGCGATGCCCTTATATGCTTCGCTGGCGATGGCGGCGCGAACGAACGCCGGAAAAACCTCCTCGGCGTGCCTCTAGCCGGGGAAGGCGTGACCCCACCACCATGTGGGTAGGGACTGGGCCAGGGACTCGCCCGCGCCGGCGTCCCCTTCACTGGAAGGGGAGAGACTGGGGCGTCAGCGGATCCGGCCACCGCAACAACGGTATCGACTGTAGTGTCCTCGGCGGCGGTAGCGTCATTTTCCGGCGTGAGATTGGACTTGCCGTAGCACTGACCCATGTGGACGTCAGCACATCGGAGGGCCTCACGGCGGGAAGTGGGGGCGAATCTGGTCAGATGAGAAAACGATAAAATGAGGGAATTTTAGTCAGGTAGAGAGAGAGAGTGAGAGAAATGGTTTAGGGAGAGAGGGAAATGGTTTAGAGAGAGAGAGAGACTTGAGACAGTGCGCGACAGAGACAGACAGACATCGAGAAAGCATGGACAACGTCTGTTAACAAACAGAGAAAGCCGTGTGTGTGTTTGTGTTGGTGTGTGAGTGTCACTGTTACATAAGGTTTATGGGTTCCTATAACCTGCTTCGCGGTGCACCCTGGACTTTTCTGTTACTCTGACGTATCCACTCATTAACACACCCTCTACCACATTTCTTTTTCGGTGTTCTTTTATTATTTCAAACTACTAAATCAGAATAAAAAAAACATTAAATAAGTAAATCACAAATTTATATTTTTTATTAAATTTAATTAGTAACAATATTAAAACAGTGTGTTAAGCTTAAATTTATTTAATATTTTGTCATTACAAATTATTAGAGTGAAATTTCTAATTTTTGTAGTAGATTTTTTATATAAGCATATTTTTGTATATTTCATATGATGTTACTTCTCTAACCAAGTGTGGGAAGAGGTTATTCATCTACTTAACACATAAATTTTTCATATTATATATCATATAAATTAATAATCATTTTTATTAAAAAAACATAAAATGAAATAAATAATCTACGCTTGATAAAAATACATTTTAGACTAAAAAAACTATATAAGTTTCTCGTCTATTTAATACATAAGTTTCTCTTATGATATTTCACATTACTTGTAATTATGAATAGAGAGAGAAGAAAAAAAATATAAAATAAAATAATTAGAATGTATTATCAATTGTAAGAAAATGTTTATCTACTTAGTACATAAATTTTTCATATCATAACATGTGATTTTCAAATTAATAACTATTTTAGGACATTTTGAAATGTTGTATTTGTGTTTGATTATTTGAAATTGATATGAAATTTAAAAAGTCAAATTAAATTAATACCCCGACCGAACTAATCATCAGAACCGTTGGTTTGGGAGTGTAGGAAACGGTGGTGTTGTGTTCCCTCATGCGTAGGATCATTTTCGCGTGGGGGAGTTTCTGTTTTGTCTTTAGTCACTTTATTTTTATAATATTAATGTCTCTTGTAACTTTTGTTGCCGTTATTAGTAATTTTCAAATGAAAAAGCATGGGTTCCATTTTTTTTAAAGAAAAAACAAAATCACAGCAAGACTTTGTGGTGAGAAATGATAAAGGTTGACATTGGGAAAATATGAGGGAGAGTCTATGATTTTAATCACTCACTTTGGCTAAAAAGTTGTGTTACACTTATAATCTATTATTACTTTTATAATTTAAATCTCTAACTCATAATTATGTTAAATAACTCTACTATTAAATATAATGGATAATCTTGGAATAGATTTATGATAGATTATTTTTAAAATAAACCAATATAGGTGTGAAGTAAATTCAAATTTAAGAAATATATAATTATTTATCAATTATCTATTCTTTTGCTTTTAAATTAAATTTTACAGGAATATTTATAAACTACCAAACTTAATAAAGTTTGTGATGAGATGCGTGTTTGTGTAACGTTTAAGTATCAGTTACAGTACTTTTTCTAGAAACGAAAACAGATTTAAAAAATAAAAAATTAAGGATTTACGTTTTATTAAATGAAAGTGAAGGTTTTACATTTAACGTCAAACACACTTAAAAATGCCTCGATAATAGTAAAATAGGCCACAACAAAACATATTATTATTTATATTTATAAACTGATTAACTGAAAATATATTTTGCAATAATACATTTATAGATTATAATGTACAGTTTAAAATGAAAATTTTATAAGTTAAATTTTAAATATTATAAATACAAAATAATTATTCAATCTTTATTTTATAAAAATTATTATTTATCCAAATTATAATTTTTTTCTCTGACTAGAGTTTTTGAAGCTCTATTTTTTTTATTTTTTATTTTATATATAAACATGTCAGGTCAAAGTAGCATAGAATAGAGTATCATTATTCGGTTGAAATTTTGATTTTGATAAATTTTTTTTTTTTTTACTTTCTTCTGTTTGCTACAAAAAGTCCTACGTGTATTTTTTTTATAGTTTAAGTTCTCTGCTAAATTTATTGAGGATGTTTTTGTTATAATAAAATTGTTTTTTTTTTATAGTTTAGGTTTTTATGTTTAATTTATTGATTGTATTTTTCTAAAATAAGTAAAATCTTTTAGTGTTAACAAATTTATATATTTTTTTGGAAGTGCATATTTAGACAGTAGATTATTTCAACCAAAGGAAATCTGAGATTTTACATAAATATTATAGGATAAAACATCTGGATTTGAGCTTTGTAGGTTTTATGATTTGTACAAGATTAGGAGTTAAAAAGTTTACGTGTAAAATGTTTAAATTGTATATGTTATAATGTTTTGATAGATTAATGAGTTATTATAATGATAATAAATTATATCGATGATGTAATCGATAAATTAGATGTATGCTTAAAATTGATTTAGAAATATGGGTAATTAGATTATTATAGTTGATTTTAGAACAAGGTATCTTAAGTAGTTTTGTATGAATGTGATTGATTATGTGAAATTCTATAATAATTGAGTCAATTTTGTTTAAATGGTTATTATATACAAATTTAGTCATTCCCATATGATATAAATGAATGATCATCATTGAACCAAAATTGTTAAGTTTTGAAATTTTATAAAATTTGTTGTTTTGCATATTTAGTTTAAAAACGTACATTTGAATGCAAAATGAAATGAGGAATAAAGAGTTATCTTATATAAGTCCATTTGTAATATATATATATATATATATATATATATATATATATATATATATATATATATATATATATATATTTATTATGTGATGTAGTGAATTAGAATAAGTTAAATTTAAAAATTATTCATTCAAATATCATAATATGTTTTGGTTAATAAAATAAATTTGTATAAATATATTAAATTTATAATAAAGATATCATTGAATAACTTTATAAATATTTATAGAAAAAAAAACATAAATAAATAAATTATTTTTTATATTAAATTTAGTTTATGTATAAATAAACAAACAAATTTAGATAAATTATATAAGATAACCTATAATTATTTATAACATTTTTAATGAAAATTACTCCATAAATTGTTACATATTTTGAAAAAAAAAAGTGCAACAAGTAGTTTTGATTACACTCAATTTTATTCACCCCCAAATAAATTTTAAAGAATTCACAAATTTTAGTTTATTTAATTTAAATTTTATTATGAACTTTTATAAAATATTTATTTTTATTATAAATGAAGAGTTACTTGCATAAACAAAATTAAAGAACTGAAATGTTATATATATGAAAATGTTCTTACAAATAAGTTTGTCTAAATGTGTTTCAAAATAATCTTAATTTTTTAATATATACTTTAACATTTGTTAATAAAATCCATATATCCTAAAATACTAATATTTAATCACTTTATAATCAAATTAATACATAACTGGTGAACAAATTTGTTTTATTAAAATTATGCTCACTGTATATATAGATTATCTTGATTAAAATATTTATTTATTTTAAAAAACTGTTCACATTTTAATCTAAATTGATGCATTCAACATTAAATAATAATAATAAATAACAAATCAAAGTTAGTCATAATTATGTACCAAAGAAAAAACAAACTGAACCCGCCTAAAAAAATAAAACTGAAAAATGGATAAAATCAATTTCAATAGATACGTGTATAAATGATGAGTAAAACTTATATGAACTTTGAATTTATTATCATTGTTTACGAAATGGCTTAGATAATCCATTCCACGGTTTAGTTGGTATACTTTCATTATCACCAACTGCCTCATTGACCCAAACAAACTTCCACACTAAAAAAACTATTAATATGACGTTTGGGAGTTGAGAGTTGAGACCCAAAATATCGTCCAAGACAACCAAATACTTGGCCATTCTTTTGCCCACTTATTATCATCCATCTCTCAACTTGTAACCATAACTAATTAATCTTTTATAACTATTCCAATAATTAACAATTAATAAAATTAAACTATCAAATTCAAAGTAGAACTACTATTTTTATCTCATTAATATAAAATTTTAAATTTTAATTTGTGACTAATTATCTTTAAAATATCTTACTAGATTATAAAAGGAATATAAATATAAATTATCATTCCCCTTATATGATATTTATTAGCCTACAAAATATATCTTCTTTGTATATATAAAAAAAAAACTCTAATATTGATTAATTACATCTAGTCAAACTAAGAGTATGAAGTATGTTACACAGTTTTATTTTTAAAAATAAGTTAAAAAAATATAAATTATCTTTGTATATAATTTATCAAAACATTTTTTATTATAAAATATAACAATAAAAATAATCTCAATTATAAAAGAAAACTTAAACTATTTACATCTCTATTAATTAAATTAAAATAATCCAGTTAATTCATGATAACAAGTTGATCCAGTTAAACGGAAAAGAGAAGAATTGACGAGGGAAATATATAAGTGAGAAATAGTTTGGGAGAAGCATAATTTGGTGTTGAAAAGGAGTATAAAGTGAGAGTGAAATGTAGTTGATGACTTTGTAGCGACCTAATTGGACCCATTAATGGCGGTTGGAACGGTTGTTGGTACTATGTCTGTGCCTCCCATTAAATCTCCACTCTCTTCCTAATAATTTCTCATTACTCAAACCATCTTATCATAAGCCTTTTCATTGTGCAATTCTCTTTCTTCTAGTTATTTTAAACAACATTATTTAAAATATTAACTCAAATAAAATTTTTATTACAAATACAATCTAAATAAATTTATATAATATTGGTATAAATAAATTATTTTTTTAAATCCAAATTCAAATAAGTTGGATGACACACTTAAATAAATTTCTCTTAAAAAATCTTAATTTCATAAATATAGTTAAAAAATATAAGTTCCCAATTTAATTATAATTTTGTTTTCGTTCTTCTTCACCAGCAAATTTATTTTTACCACTTAATTTAAGAATATATACGAGAGTACTTGTTTTTTTCAAGTTTTGTATATTTGAAAGATTTTTTTCTTCCTTTTTATAACTTTCAAAATTTAAAATAACATCAACTATTCTTTTAGAAATTGTGTTTAATTTTAGTTAAATATAAATTCATTTATTTATGCATTTTAGTGAAGTAAAAATGAAAGAAAAAAGTTAAAAAAATGCAATAACTAAGTTGTTTAAAAAAAGTATATTTAGTAATTTTTAATGCATAATCCTTAAAAGATAAAAAAAAATGCAAGAATTATTTTTTCCACTAAATTGATATGAACATAACATATTTGAATACTTTAGTTAGATATTCAGAAAACTTATTTGAAAATAAAGGTGAAAACATCAGCATTTATAATTGTTATAGTAAGTCTTTTATTATTTAGCGTAAAAAATTGAAAATATATAGGTTTCTAGTTATTACATCAAACAGCATCAACAAACGTATGAATAATGAATCACCCCGATAGGAAGAATATTTTTTTTTTGGACCAAAGAAACTCACAAATTAAGCCCAATCCCATTGCAAAAGCAGTCCAAAGTAGTTTTTGTTTAGTCCATAATTTTAAGGCCCATGAATATTATTTTCTAAACTCTTCTATTTTTAAAACTTTTTCATATTTAAGACATAGCACGTGCCCATAACAAACAATTTAAACATAAAAATTCGAAACTAAACAATACATAAGTGTATTTAGTCTGAGTAATTTAACGTTCAAAGATAAGTAATAGCTTTGTTAATATTATTGGTCAATATAATATATCTAATAATTATTTATAAATGTGCGTCGAACTAAAAGTTTCAAAATTAATGTTCATAGAATTTTAGAATTAAATTTTCAATACATTTCAAAGCCAAATAATCTGGAAATTTTAAAGACACAAATGCTGCATGAAAATATTGTTTTAAAAATAAAATATAAGAATTTTATTCTAAGGTCGCTATTGGAATTAGGTTCATATCTAAATTTTAATCTACAGTCTCAATCATGTAAACCTGCCCCCAGAAAAACTTCATAGAAATGGTTTTTTAATTTTTTTTTCATTTGCATCGTATGATTGTGCATAAATTATTTTAGTTTTGAAAACAAAAAAAATTGTGGGGTGGCTGCAACATCTTGATCATGTTTGCATGCAGTAGAAGATGATTAAAATATATTTCATTTGCAAAGTGGGGTGGGGGGAGAAATAAATAAGCTATGCTACAAAACAAATTCCTGATTGAGACAGTCACAAACTTAAAAAGTCGAGTTTGTTAATTAAAAAAATAAAATATGAATAAGTTATATTCAAAATAACCATTGGTAATATTTTATTACCTCAATTATTCAACTAAGTTAAATTAAGTATAGTTTAAGGTTAAACTTCTTGTAAATGAAAAGAAGACCTATTAAAAGTAACAGTTTTATTTTTTGGCAAATATTACTCATCAATAAAAATGGTAAAATTTTTGTACAAGTGTCATAATGATTGAAAAATAATCAAGAAATATACTTTTTTTCACAGGCCCATTTATAAAAAAAGAATAATAGCACTCTTTCGGTGGAAATAGTGAACCAGCACAATTTATACTTTAATTTTTCTTGGGCCTAATCAAGCTGGCCCGTAAAAATAGATACTTGGGCTATACATTAATTCTCCACTGTAACAGTTGGAGTTTTGGGCACTTTTAAATGCTTCAATTTTAAAGTTTTTTTATATCGTTAATTCGTTTTAAAAAATAATTTAATCATTGTAAAAATCAATAAATTTACATAGATGATGATTTGTAATTAAACAGTACATTTTAATTGGTACACATCATGTGTTCTTTATACATATTGTTAGTGTGAAATCGAGAAATATGATCTATAAACGAACAAAGCTGTATGATAACTTTTTCGATGTCCAATTATAAAGAACGTAGCACATAAAATCGAAAGGTAGAATCGGAAGGGTAGGAGTAATAGTCGAAGGCTTAACATGGAACAACTTTGAAGTATATGAAGTTAAGGTTAAAATGAATCGATGCCAGGTATGCAAAGTTTTCGATTAAGTCGAAATCGAAGGAAGGCTCGTCTATGTGGATATCGAAACCCAGCTAAACCTTGAAGGGAAATAGTCAAAACGCACGTTTGGAAAGCGGTTTCTAAGTTATGGAAGAGGCGAAGATCGTGAGAACGTGGGAAACCAGTAAAGAGGAGCGCCTTATACACGTAGGACGTGGTATCGGTCTTGTTAACTGTTTCGGAAGACTTGAATGATGCCCTATAAATAGTACAAAAGAGGAAGGAGGAGGGGGCGGAAATTGGCAGAGAACAGGATCAGTAGTGAAAATTCTACCGGAGAAACGACGAACACCATGAAGTTTCTGGCAATCTGGATTTCCTTGCTCACTGAGTACATTTACCACTTTCTGTATTTTCCTTGGTAATTTATTTTGATGCAACTTAAATTCAGCAATTTTATGTTTCTGTATTTTCAATTCCTTGTCCATTTCAATTCAATGAAAGTTTAAGTTTCTGTATTTTCGATTTATTGTCATTTACATTTCCTGCACATTTCGATTTCCTGCCATTTATATTTGCACTATTTTTCGATTCCTTGTCATTTACAATTAATGCAAGTTTGGGGTTTTCGCACTTTACATTTCCTCGCAAATTAATATTCTGCTTTTTCGATTCGATGCTTTATTGTTTTCGATACTTTAAAGACAAAACACCAAAAACAGTTTTCTTGATATTTTATGATTTTTGATTCTCATATACGTTTTCGATTGAAAGTCAGACTGCTAGCCTAAGTAAAAAGAACTTACGTGGTTGGATTTTGATTAGGACCAAAACATCCTTAGAATTGAAATCGATCAAAATTCCACCAGAAACAAATTGGCGCGCCAGGTAGGGGGTTAATCTTGTGTTGAGAAACACAAAATTGGTTAGTTCGAAATTGTATGAGATTAAGGAGTGGAAGAGTCATGAGTCAGAGTTCATCAAATAATCAAGGTAACAGTGAGGGATTAAATGGGTCACACCCACCAAATACTGGGGGGCAAAGTGATAATGGGAACATACTTGTAGTATCGACAACTGTGAGCATGTCGATACTCGTGAGTAGTGAACAAAATTCAGGTACATTAGCAAACACCCAAGTAGGATCTAGTACGGTCATACCAAATAATATGCAAACTATAGGAAATCCCACAACCACATATGTAGGGCCACGTATGAGTGTAAGACCACCCGGGTTTTCACTTAATAATGTGAGTGGGGCTGGAACTTCTTCAACGCATAGGAATTCGAGACATAACTTAGGAATGTCCCAAACACTAGGTATGCCACAAAATTTTGGAATCCCTCCAAATTTAGGGACGTCGCAAAACTTAGTAATTCCCCGGAATTCGGGAACGGACAGAATGTAGGCACACAACGAGATGCCTCCAAATCTAGATCATAGGGAAACTTAGATCATGGGAGATATGTATTCGATAGAGACTATCATCGATCTAATTTTGATTCTATCGAAAACATGAGTACTGGAATATCTAGTAATTCATTAGGGGTACTTAGACAGACAAATGGATGAGAGTAATTTTGAAATGGTGAACATGTTATCACAACAATTGACTACGGTCTTAAGTCCATTAGTCAAACACTACTGCTAGTTTCGAGATATTAGCGAGACCAAATGTCACGAATCGGGGATGCATTGGATGTGCCTCGACGAACAAGGGTAGAAAATCATGCTAACCAGAATACTAATATTAATCCCCCATATCTATTGAGAAGAAATAGAAACAATGATCAACAGCAGCGTATGGGACATGAGTATCAACATGTGAGGAATGATATTTATGGGAATTTGAACGAAGGATTTCAAAATATACACAATCAGAATAATATGTTGGGACAAAGGGTGAATTTACAAGGGATGGAATTTAGACCACCTAATCAGACATATTTTGTATCTCCCTTTCCGAATGCGATTCTCGAGACAGAATTGCCTCGGGGATATAAAGTACCCAAATTCACCAAATTTGCTGGAGAAGTTGGTGAATCGACTATCGAGCATGTAGCTCGATATCAGATCGAATGTGGAGACCTAGCGATGAGTGAGGAATTGAAAATGAAATATTTCCCGAGTTCTTTGACTAAGAATGCTTTTACTTGGTTCACGTCATTGCCACCTAATTCGATATATAATTGGCTGCAATTGGAAAGAAATTTTCATGAACAATTCTTTAGAGGAGAAACTCAAGTGAGTCTCATCGACTTGATGAATATAAAAAGATACAATCATGAAAGCATAGATGATTATTTGAATCGATTTAGACAAATGAAATCGAGATGTTTCACTCAAATTCCTGAATATGAATTAGTCAGAATGACATCTGCAGGTTTAGAATTCTCGATTAGGAAAAAACTGGTCAATTTACCATTAAATGACATGGCTCAATTAGCTGATAAAGTGAGAAGAGTGGAACAAATCGAGTATGAGAAACAAAGATATAAGAAATATGAGAAACCTCTAAAAAAGGAAAGAATAGCATACATAAATGATGTATATGAGACAGATAATATGACAGAAAATGATATTGAAGAAACT